CATAAGTTATTGTTGAGCTCTTCTTTAAGATGATTGTAAAGTTATATTAAATGATTTTTCAGTATATCTGTTAAGAGAAAATAAAGCTAGACTTAGGGAATACCGAAAATTTGGTACTATAGCAAAATTTTTAACATAAATTTGTATACAGTAGATCTTACAATAAATACTAAATTTCCAATACTCCATGGTCCAGTTTAATTTTCTCATAAAGGATATGTTTTGCTTTACAACAGAAATGTAAAACAAAATACTTTTTCATAAAGATTTCTTTATTCATTAGATGTTTCTTGGAAAGTGTTATTCAGTAGACATAATTTCAATGTTTTCTTCATTTTTCAAAGTTTTTATAAAATATATTCATAAAATATTTGAACATTTTATTCATTGACTGCAAGAATGAGTGTCTTTAATGAGATGCCTTTTATTCAAATCGTAATATAATATAACTTTTGTGTGATTTGAATGCTTTTATGTGACGTTATTTTGAAATTTTTTGTTGAATTACTGAATAAGTAAAAAGAAATTAGAGAAATATTATAGAAATCAAAATAATAGCCAAAATAATCAAAATAATGTTTGGAGACAGATTATTGTGATTCAATTGGATTTCCATTCATTGATATTGGATGTGACAATGCAGTGGTAAAGTGGCTCCGGTATAGACTTAATGTAATCAATGTCTCCATTTAGGCCTTTAAGCTCCAGTCCATGGGTTTAAACGTTTGACACGAAATAAATAAAATTTATAAGTAATTGATTGACAATAATAAGAAAAACTATTAACTTGAAAGTATTTTATTTACTACATTTACTTTATTATTGATATTGTCTTTAAAAATTATTTTTTGTTATTAATACAATATAATCATGTTTGCAGTTATCATGTTTTTTATCCAAGAAAGTGAACCAGTCCATTGAAATACATTTAACACATCACGTATTATACTGTATATTAAATTTGAACCACTTAAAGTAAATAAATTAATATGTTTACTAATTTTAATTTTTTACAAATTAAAACATTGATTAATCATATACAATCAATTTAAATATATTAAAACTCTCACTCGTTTACATATTTGATATACTGAATATAAATTATAAAAATTTATGTTAATACCGCAAATTACATTTTGAATCAAAATTCTGATTAAATTAGAACCGAGTTTATAAACAGTATGTTAGCCAAGTCATTTTAAAATACTGGTATATAAAACTGACTTAAATAGTTTTAACCTTATTAAATAATATTTTTATTAATAACATCATGTTTTCAGGGTATTTTATTTCAAAAGGACGGATAGTTTTTCAGATATAAATTGTAAACTAAATGAAATTTATATAAATTTCACTTATATCGATTTTAAGATTTAGTATTAATAGTTTATTATACGGTATGTTATTTAAACTAAGTTTAAACATGTTTAGTTTAAAGTGGAAAATAAATTTATATATCATATACTATATAACATAAATAAAAGTAAAACTTTCATATTTTAATACTGTATGAAACTATTTATTAAATAACATATTTTGCACAAACTTAGCAAGCATTCATTTTTCTTGTTGTTTCAACACATTAGTGTTAATGCATTTACACAGCATTCATAATAGTACTGTACTTTCATTTATCAAATTCTAGGGAATCACAAATGTTCACATAACTCAAGATTTCTAAAAATATTTTTATATCTTTTTTGTGCTTGTAATCTAAATATGTTTTTTAAAATATAAGCTATTTTACCAGTATACTTTATATAATATCACTAATATATTATATTAATATATGAGTTTTAGACAATCAGAGTAACGTTAGCTATATTTATATTTATTATATTTAGTTAATCATTTTACTCAAAAGTCAATTATTCATTCAATATTCATAGGTTTTTATTAATTTTTAAAATTAAATATTCAAAAATAGGTAACGTTACTATGATTGTCTAAAGCTCATATTATATATGCTATTATATATTATATATTATCATGTAATACATGAGTTTTGTGAGGATTTATCAAATCCAGGGCATTCAAAAGTGTTTATTTATTTTATATTTTATATTAGTTTGGATTAAAACTCAATTCTACTCCAATTTTATGCGAAATACAGAAAAAATAAAAAATGTGCACATTATCAATTAATTGTATTTTCAATTATCATTTTATTTTATTTTGTAACTAAAATTTAATTTTAAATATTTAGAATTTCAGCATATAATATACAGTAATTTTGTTATCTAAATAATATCATATATCTTTATTTGAAAAATCAAAAGAAATTCTAATTAATTTATATGAATTGAATTTTTTCTTATAAAATAACTAAAATACTATACAAAACGTGAATAACATTTATCTGGACAATTCATTACACATTTTAATTAAAAACAAAGTACAAGATTTTTGGCATGAACACGCTAAGTAATTTCGTATTTGTGATAGGTATATTCAATATAAATACCTCAGTTTAGCTTTGAAAACTTAGTAATGTAAAGCAAAAGCTTTAAATTAGCATCTTACGCATACAAAATATATGAGTAAGATGCTAATTTAAAGCTTTTGCTTTACATTACTAAGTTTTCAAAGCTAAACTGAGGTATTTATATTGAATATACCTATCACAAAT